GGTCTCTAGAATCGTCAGAGACCACCAACTGTCCTCAATCTTCTAAACAGAAAAGAAAGATCAAGACCCTTCATTTTAGGGTTTTGATTTGGGCGATCCAACTGTTCGTTCTTTCAGCCTTTTCATTTTTACCCTAGATTCTTTTCACCCGCTCCTCAAGATGAAGTCAGTTCACTTTCGGCTCTTCAAGTTTCTCTCCATCTCTTCTTTAACCCTTTGGATTTTCTTATTGCAGATGCTTCATCTTGAACAGAAGTCGATGATGTGCTGAAGTTCTTAAAGGTTTTGTGAGCAGATCGGCGAGCTGTTCCCTCGAGGTGACATGTTTCATTTCGACGAAGCCCTTTTGAACCTGGTTGCGAACTATGTGGCAGTCGATGTCAAGGTGCTTCGTTCGTTCGTGAAAAATCAGATTTGCTGCGATATGTTCGGCAGCTTTGTTGTCACAGTTCAATATTACGGGTAAGTGGGGTATTATTTGAAAGTCTCGAAGCAGATAGGTTATCCACTGAACTTCACATACCGTGGATGACATACTTTTGTACTCAGCCTCTGCGGAAGACTTGTTCACTGTAGTTTGTTTTTTTATTTTTCAGGAGATTAGTGTAGGCCCGAGGAAGATACAAAAGCCCGTGAGTGATTTATGGGTCATCGGACACGATGCCCAGTCTGAATCACAAAAGGCTTGAACTTTAAAGTCATTCTTTCTTGGAAAGAAAATGCCTTGCTCTGGATATTGCTTTAGGTACCTAACAACGTGTAGTGTGATCTCGAGGTACGGCCGTCTGGGCTGTTGTATGAACTGACTGAGGTATTGTGTGGAGTATGTTATGTCGGATCTGGTGAAATTAAGGTAGAGCAAGTGGCCGATTAGGCGTCTATACCTCTCCGAGTCTGGTAAGATTTCTTATTCTTCTGCATTTAGTTTTAATTCGGAAGGCAAGGGAAAGTGGCTTCCTTTTGCATATTCTATCTTTGTATCTTGTAAAATATCTTTGGTGTATTTTTTTTTTGCTGATGTAGATCATTTCTTTTGACCTAGCTATCTCGATTCCGAGGAAATATCTCATTTGGCCAAGGTACTTGACTGTGAAGGCTTTATCTATGACACTTTTGACTTTGCAAATCTCTTTATCATTAGGATCCGTGACAAGTAGTAAGTCATCCACATATACCACAACTACAACGTAGTTTCTTTTTGTTCCTTTTGTGAATAGACAATAGTCGACTTCTGACTTGGTGAAGCCGATGGATTAGAGCTTTGAAGTGAGCTCCTTGTTCCACTGGCAACCCATTTATTTTAGGCCGTACAGGCTCTTGGTTAGACAGCAAACTTGCCCTTCAATAGCCTTAAAGTAGCCCTCTAGAGGTTTTAAGTATAGCTCATCTTCTACAAATCCATGTAGGTACGCGTTATTGATGTCTAACTAATATACTGGTTAATCGCTTGTGGCTGCCATGGCTAAAAGTAGTCGAACCGTAATCATTTTGGCCACTGGTGAGAAGCAATCATGATAGTCTATGCCAAACTCTTGGTTATAACATTTAGCTATGAGTCTTGCTTTGTATTTATCAACTGATCCATCGGTATTGTATTTTATTTTATACACCCATTTTAAGTCAATTGTCTTCTTCCC